GAGCAAACTGCAATGGCTGCCAGTCAGCTCTGCCTTGGAGTGGTCCCGGGGTCTTGTGTCCCGTGGCCCCCGTGTAGGAACAATGACAGCTGCAAGCACCTCTGCACGAAAGCCGCCCTCAAGTTCCGGCCTGATGCCAGACAGTCCAGTTTCTCTCTGTATGAGTCTGGGTCCCCAGAGTCTCGCCTGGAACTGGAGTTCAGAGCAATTGGGAGCTTGTATCTCCCTCCTGATTGAAAAAGACAACAGCATACCCAGTTGCCAGCCCGTTTGCGCGTGCGCCTCTGTACCTCTGCACCTCTGCACTTGCTCACCTCTGCACCTCCTACCCATTGCAATGCGCTTCTCTCTTTCCTTCTAGTTGTAGAATTTCCACTCGGCCAGCCTTCCCCTGGTTCTGGATGATGTCTGTTTTGTCTTTTAGTTGTATTTTTGATGTGGTTGTGCGAGGCAGCAAGTACAGGTGTGTACCTGTGCCGCCATCTTGGATCCTCGTCATTCACATTGAGGACAGTTTCAATGCTGTGGTGGGAGGTGAACTGGGGACCAGGGGGTGAGCCAATGGGGAGGCTCGGCCTGGGGTAAAGGAGCGTTGCTGGTGGTCACGCTGGGCTTCAGGTGAGAACGAGGGGAAGACGTGCTCATGGCACAGGCTGTGGCGTGTGGTCTGTGCCTATGGCTCTAGAGGCTACAGTGTGGGCCGTGGGGTGAATGGCAGACAGTCCCAGGGCGGTTGCGCGGCAGTCCCTTGGGGCGTGCTGGGGCTGTGCTGGGTGCACGGAGGGGGTGAGGTTGGCTCAGAGCCTAGACTCCAGGAGCCCAGCTGGGCACTGAAACGCCAGCTCCTGCGAGGGACCCGGTGGACCCTCTGGGGGAGGAGGAGCTGGGTTTGGGGGCTGGTGTGGGGTTCTGGGGAGCTTGGCGCTGTCTGAGCTCTCAGCACTGTGCCCCCCTTTCTCTGCTAAATTGACTTAGTCTCTGTTTTCGCAACACTCGCTTGGTTCCTCCCTGTCTCAGCTGCATGCTGGCCTCTCCCTGTCACTGCCTCAAATTGAGGTTCCTGTTACCTGGTTGGGCCCTGGGAACCCAATAGCCTCATTTCCTGAGATGGTATTAGAAGTCAGGACTGCCCTCAGCCTCTGTCCGCGGTGCTCACAGCTCTCCCCGCGTTGCAGGAAGGACTCTGTCCGGCTCACGCTCCTGTTACCAGCGTCCAGAGGCCCTTCTCACCACACAGGCTGCCAGGACCCACACCTGGGCCAGGTGACAGGACCGGGGCCTTGGGGCCACACCTGCTGAGACCCCCCGTCCCCTCTGCCTCAGGAAGGAGGCCCTGACTGGGGGACGTGGACCAGAACCGGCTCCTGGGATCTGTCCGTTCTGCTCACTCCCCTTTCCTCCGGGGCCTCTGCCTCCCCCATCAGTGCGGCCAGAGAGAGGGCCTGGCCAGGGCCTCGGAGGGCCTGCTCCAGACAAGCTCAGTTTCCTGTGGAATTCCTGAACTGACACCTCAAAATGCCTTCCTTGCCCCGTTTTTAGGAAGAAGTAAGTCTAACCTGGGCTGGGCCCCTCTGCACCTGGCCTGCTACTTTGGACATAGACAAGTGGCCCAGGCCCTGCTAAAGGTATGTTGATGGCTGAGTTTTTCATGAACATAGTAGGTACTGGCACGGAAAGGATGGAAGGCTTAGGGAAGGCACCGAGCAAGATGGCTTATGCAGAGCGAGAGTCATCACTCAAGACACGAATTGTTGCCCTAACCGGTTTTGCTCAGTGGCTAGAGTGTTGGCCTGTGGACTGAGGGTCCCAGGTTTGATTCCGGTCAAGGGCATATACCTTGGTTGTGGGCACATCCCCAGTGGGGAGTGTGTAGGAGGGAGCTGATCGATGTTTCTGACTCTCTCTATCCCTATCCCTCTCTGGAAAAAAATCAATAAAATATATTAAAAAAACAAAACAAAACACGAATTGTTCTTTCCTAAATACATGAAGTAGGTTAGCCTGACTCATTAAAATTCTATTTTTTTTAGTCATTTAAGTTTTACAGTGTTGGCTTTTTGAAATTGCGAAAGTGGACATATGAATTAATGAAGATATTGTATATTTTCAGTTTTTTAAGAAAAATAACCAAAGCACATTCTATGTAATCCTGTATAATAAAAGGCTAAGATGCAAATTGTCCTCTTGACCAGGAGTTTGCCCGGGAGTTCGAACAGGGGGTGGGGCCAGCTCGCCTACCACTCACAGCCTCCTCCTAGCTAGCACTGCCCCCAATTGGCTCCCTCACCCTAATCAGGACCAGGGTCGTTGGCTAACCTCCCACTTCCCCTTCCCCCTGCTGCCTGATCGGCACTGATCGGGCAGGCCGGCAGGACCCCACTTGTGCACGAATTTGTGCACCAGGCACCAGGAGTTTGACCGGGAGTTCGAACAGGGGGTGGGGCCAGCTGGCCTACCACTCACAGCCCCTCTGCCTGGCCTGCCCCCCTGCCCCCCGACTGGTCCCCCCAC